TAACATACATAAATTCATGCAGATTCTTCATTATTGAATTTAATTAAATATAAGACAAGGCGATAATAGTTGGTAGTAACTATTTGAAAAGTAATTCAACCCTTTTAGTGATTCGAAGCAAAATGCCATTTCGAGAGTAATAGTCCTTCTGGGCTAAAAAATTGTTAACAACAGTGCAAAAATAAGTGAAAACGCAGGCGAAAATATCCTCAAATGGTTCAAAGAGATGACAAATCTTTTACAAAATACACTTCAATGACTAAAACAAACTTTTATAGCAAGTTCTTGAGCTTTTAACTACGAGCATTAACGGTTTGGACGACAAAGAAATAAACGGATAGGAAACTGCTATTATAACATTCCGTATTTCAATAATAAACTTTAAAATAAAATTAAACTAGCATACAGTTACAGAACTGCTTAAAAATAAAAATTCCATATTTAACGTCAACACAAATGAAGACATTGATTACAGTAGCGTTTCCCAGATGCCGGGTCGTGATCCAACACTGGAAACCGAAAGCAAAACACTGGGCGGCAGACAAATTTAACGAAATAACTAACCTTACACTAATGTGAAAGTCAATAGATGACGTTCAGATTTGCTAAGTTAAATGTCTTCATGGATGGATGACACGTGGTATTGAAACTTATCACTTACCAATTCAGAATTTTGTTGCTATTTTTGTGTTATCTGCGGCACTACCCAAACTTGATTGGGCTTGACTGGAGTTCTGCATCAGACCCAACCAATGTTTTTATATGAGACTGATGACACGGACTAGACTAGACTAGAAAGAGCCTAGAGTGGAAAAACTTTGCTGGGGTCTACTGCCCTATTCTAGTTAACTTTTCGCGGCGCCACAGCCCTCTTAGTGATCATTTGTTAAATATTAGTTCAGATGCTGCGTACATTTTGGTACTTATTTACTATTAATTATAATATTATATCACATCTCACTTATCAGTGGATAAAATGGTTCATAAAAAGCGAACAAAACTATGCCAGTTGTAATCGACAGACAATCAAATGATGTCCAGACAGAAGAAAAATATTGTCAATGACACTAAAGCGTTAAGTGACATTCAACCAAGCACGAGTTCTAAGAAAGATTCCAACAAGCGGCCACACGAGGTGTTATCCATTACACATACAAAAAAGAAGAAACTAACCTGAATTCAACAGTAATCTCATGATTGTATAAAATTTGCTTTGATGAAAGGTTCTGAAGGAAAACTAATGCGTGTTATTTGTTATACGGTCTTATCAAAATCAGGCCATGAGACTTCCAAATTTGAAAATGGCACTTGGAATTAAAACTTCCAAAATACAGTAAGAAATCGATATATTTCTTCAAATCAAATTCGTATGGTAAACTTCTGTTATAGATGTATATCGCAAAAGGTAAGAAGCATGGATTAAGAAAGCATATTCTAAATGAAGTCGTCATTTCCATTTCTGGGAATATCGTGAAGTGAAATGGCAAACAGTGCTGCCATCTGTTAATAAAAAATTGCATTCGGAATTTAATAAAATATAACCTCGAGATGAACAGCATTGATGAGTGGTGATCGGATAGCTAGTTATACATGAGGAGTTATTAAAATAAACTTTGTCAAAAAAAAGTGTCATTTCAGTACAAACTTGACGAACTGAGTAAGGATACTTATTACTGCATTTCGAAAACAAGAATGTAATTTTATCATTCTTATGCAATATTGCGCCAACAAAATACTCGTAGGACTTCCATTACGATGCAAAGTGCACTGTAAAAAATTTTGTAACGGAAAAGCAAGATATTAAATGAAATGATAAAATCTACTCTATAAATATCAATAAAGTAGACCTTTGCAGTAAAAAGGACCATTTTTTTACATATTCGACTGACAGAACGTAGATTTAGTGTGTGAGTGAGGTTTTTGGCGCAAAACCAAAGATGATTATAACGCGCCAAACACAAGGTGGGATGATCAAAATTGATGAAATTAAAATACAATAAATAAAAACAGGTGGACAAATGTACCAAATCCAGAGGATGAAGTCATATAAAAACAAGGTAAATGCTCACGTTAAAATCCAAGACACAATCTTCAAAACAAATTACATTAGGTAGTAAAAGCCAGTCTCCTTTAAATAATAAAATAAATTACGATTAGCTTCTCTTCCGATTACACGGTCGAGAGGTAAGTCACAGCTATTAAAATATTTCTGACGAAGACTATTAAAACATGGACATTCAATTAAAATATGACGGACAGATAAACAAACATTACAATTAAAACAAACAGGCTCATTTTCAGCTTCCAAAAGGTTGTTATGTGTCACTCTAGTGTGACCAATTCTGAGGCGAGTCAAAAGAATTTCCTCCTTACGATTTCTAGTAACGTCCCAATGCTCAATTCTAGGCTTTACACTTCTCAACTTGTTGTGAAGCTGAACGTCCCAAATTTGCTGCCATTTTTCTTTTCGGATCTTCCCCTTGATGACACAGCAGATATCTCTAAAAGGGATAAGGCGACTGGACAGTTCAACAGCAGATTTTGCTGCGGTATCTGCAAGCTCGTTTCCTTTTATTCCCGCATGCCCGGGAATGAACGTAGATTTAGTTATTGCACTTTGAAAATCAGGATGCAATTTCATTTTCTGTGCAATATAACGCCAGGAAAGCAAATACTTCTATTATGACTCAAAATGCACGATAAAAAAATTGTATAACGAAAAGTAATGTATTGTGATAAAAAAAGTAACATAAATGAAACATGAGATGAATGAAACGTTAAATGAAGTGATAAAACTTACTCTATAAATTTCAACAAGAAAATACGTGTACTATTCCAACGCTATTTACGGTTTTTCAGTGTGCTGATCAATTTTCGTAGGAAAATATTGGGTGTTACCATTCGAAAGTTTCGAAATCTTTTCACTGTTACTGTAACTGTGAAAGCTCTATTGCCTTAAATCGAGCACATACTTTCAAATCTGAAATTTAATTTTGATTGTTTGAGTGAATAGGTCGCTAGGGGTTCATATATCATATATATATGTGATTCGAAAACAGAATGCCAGTACTAGAGCGATGTGCGTTTTAGAATCCGCCTACGTAAATGTCAGCCCACAGTACTGTTTGTTCTGAAATCTCGGGTAGTGGGCCTTCTGTTGAGAGACCCTCAAAAGCAAAATTTCATGACATCGGAAGAGTTTTTATAAGTTATTATTTAGTTACAGAAAAAATGTCCAAATTATTCACTTTGTCAAAAATGCCCACTTTTGTAAGAATAATAACTTTTTTCGATACACGTATGAAAACTCCTCTTCAAAAAAAAAAAGTTCAAGCTCCGAGTGCATACATAGGAGTTACTGATGAGAGTCTTGAAAACACACTGGTGGGAAAAATTAAAGGAACAACTACAAAGACTCACGTAATTTGAACGATTTTGCACCTAAGAACATGGAAGTTGCACCAAGATCTTTATTTTGTCATGCCGGACTTGCTGAATGCTAAATTCCCTATTTCTGCAAAAAATAAAATAAAATAAAATAAAATAATAATAATAAATAAAATAAAATTAAAAAAATAACAAGAATAAAAGAAATGCGATACAAAGATGTATAAGGAAAATTTACTATCACAAGTTATTAGAGATATACAGAAAAAAAAATTAATATGTGTGTGGTTCCTCCTTAGCGATTTGCATGCTTTTCAACGATTTCCATGCTGTGCATTAGATTCTTAATTAAAATAACAAGAATAAAAGAAATGCGATACAAAGATGTATAAGGAAAATTTACTATCACAAGTTATTAGAGATATACAGAAAAAAAAATTAATATGTGTGTGGTTCCTCCTTAGCGATTTGCATGCTTTTCAACGATTTCCATGCTGTGCATTAGATTCTTCAGGAATTTCTGTGGTAACAAGGGTATTTGTGATAAACAGCACATTAGAGCTATACGAGAGAGCTAAGTGAGGGCTGCAGTGATGCAAATGTGTCCCACACATGCTCTACACGATTTTAATCTTGAGCATATGTTGGCTATTCAATCTTCCAGATTCGTTTGCTTCCAAGACAATCGGTCACTTGTGCAGCGCTAAAGGAACGAGAATTTTTGTTCGTTAAAAGGACGTTATTACCAATTCACCCCTAAAAATCTTGACATAAGAATCAAGAATCTCATCGCATATTTCAGCATTCCTAATTGCACTGGTAAAAAAAATGTGTAGATCAGTGCTCATTCAAAATGATGCCCGTCCATACCATGAATCTACCACTTTATACCTTTCACGAATCTTTTTAAACTTACCATGCATTTTTTGCTCCTTCCAGATTGTAACACGTCTGGAATCACTATCCAAACAAAAATAAGGTAAATCATTAAAGTGAATTTAATTACAATTAAAAAGATAAAAGTTTGCTGTAAGTGTATTCTACAAATACTACATACTATTTGTTTACAATGCTGAAGCTGCTGTTTGATAATGCGACAGCTTATGAGGTATTTTCTCCCTCCTTTCCTTATGGTGTTGTAAAGTCGTTAGGTTATTTGGAAGCAGGAGACATGAAAAATGAGCAATGCCCTCGCAGGGACTCGAACTAAGAACCTCTCGAATACGCGCCGAGTGTGCTGACCACTACACCAGGACGGCACGCTTGGGAGAAATACCTTATAACATAACTGGAAGCAAGCTTGATTCGCATTCGGGAAGTCCAGCGTTCGAATCCAGGCGAGGGCATGTCTCCAGAATGATTTGTCACATCTCAGCATCAAAAAGCCTAATAACTCTGCAAGCTAATTCATTTAGAAGCTGAAACCCATGGCAGCGCTTTCTCTCAGTTTCCTTCTACTAAGCACCAAGGTATTAAAACACAATAAGAAGTGTAAGGGACAAGAAAAATATGCAACTCTTTCCATTTTCAACATCTGCAAGTAAATTATTCATATAGTTATAATCAAATATGTTGTTATGAGAATAAAGGAAAAGCTTCAGAAATCAAAGACATTTTAAGAGACTGAGCATTATATTATTTAATAAATAAGTATTTACAAAGCTTAGACAATAATTTACAAACAGCAATATTAACATTTTGAAATTGCACTCTGGTACACATCAACATATATACAATTTAACATTTTAAAAATTTTAGTTTCTTCATGGCACAGATCAGTGGGTTATGAATTAAATAATTAAACCCCACATATCAAAACAAACAGTCTAATATATTACAGCATGATTGGAAATAATATAAAGCACAAGTTTAGTCTGAAAATACTATACTTGAAACACACAGAGAGGATGCTATAGATGTACAATAGTATAATGGACAGCATAATATCATAACATGATTTCTGCCAATGTTTTTGACAGAATTATGAAAAGTATAATTTTTAACATTTTTAAAAGCTGTTTTAACACCAAATCACAACTACCTCATTATTTTTGCTACATTTTTGACACAAAATATTATGGTTAAATTTAATATAATATGAATACTTTTGAGCAAAATCCATTCTCAGATTTCAGCAAAACTTTCTTAAACAACACTCAGTTTCGGAAATTATTTTATACAACTAAAAAGGAAAAAAAAAAAGTTTTTAAATATTTTCATAAAAAATTAATATCTCCTTTTGAATTTGATTTTATACTTAAAATGCTACTAAAACTTCAAAACTTTTCAAAGAATATTTAAAAACTAAATTTTTTTCAGCTAATGAATGTAAGAAATACATCAAAGAATTTCAGTACACAGTCGTACAAAACGAAATAGAAAACACTTAACCACACTTGACAAATACCAATTTTAATATTTCATATAATATACATAGATATAAATAACATTCTTATAAAGGGTTTTCTCCATCTCCTGAATTATTTTATATAACTACTGCAGTCAATGGCAGTTTTTATTCCCTTTATTTCTGCAGGATTCACTTTAACTTTTGTAAGTTTGCTCTCTTATGAGTACATCATTCATGGAAAAAGTCACAACTGTATTAAGTACTTAAATTATTCAAGCTGCAAAGTTTTTTCTCCGTGTAAATGTGAACCATTATTTTACTACATATCCTCAATTAGCAAGCAATGAAATTTGATCTTGCAGTGAGGTATCAAATTCAAATAAAATACCTAAGAATTATACATTATGAAAAATTTGCCATATATTTGAAAACTATTGCTATTATTACCATGATTTATATGATTGTAAATATTAAATAATTAAAAGCTATTATAATAAGGGGCACACAATTTCCTCTTATAACTGCTCCATAGACTGAAACAAACAATAAAGTTATCAATTATTATTTTAAAAACACAAAATTTTAATAACACATTTTGTTGACAATCCAAACAATCTATGCAGTTATTATCCAAAAAACATAAAATTCTGCTAAAATTTACTTATACATATGTATACATAGAATTAAGCACAAATGATAAGCAACTTTCTGAAGCCTAATGCATAAATATGTTTAATAACCTAAAAGGAATTATATTTTCTAGTACACATGAGCTACAAATTACTTTGAACTTTTTGAATCAAGTCCTAAATAACTGTACAGCAATGCATGAAATCTGCTGTTGTAGCAAACTAAAAATAATAGCAGATAATATAACTTGTCATTGCACACTGCTTACTTTACCATGAGAAAAATATTTTGATATAACTGAATTAAGAAGAAATATTAGTTTTGACATAGACAAACATAAATTGTTCAATAATACCACACACTGCTGACAAAACTACGAATGTTTTCTGAGTCAAAATAAAAACAAACTTTCTTAAATTCATAATGTACTAAAATTATTTGAATTTAGTCTACTTTTACCACAGCTTACTATGTAACCAAGACTAAATAATATTGTGAAAATATGATGTATTAACAACAAAACAAATTCAACTTATTAAACAACTTTTATCCCTTGCACCATTTTGTTCATATATTTTATTACTGTTGAAAGTGTACATTTAATAATACTTCATAAAAAGTACTGACATGGATATACTCATGGCTATAAATAAAAAATACTAATCTACAATGTTAGCAAAAATAATGCTTGCATATCCTGGAGAACTACAATAGGCTCCCGATTACGTAGGGTAATACTGGGAATGTTACACAGTTAATGCAAAATCAAATCAAGTTGAAGGCATTTACCGATATTATAACTACTAGAAAAATACTGCAATGAAGTTACCTTAAGTTAGGGATTCTCAACCGGTGGTACGCAAGAGAAAAATAGGTGGTATGCAAAAAAAAAAGCAAAGTATTTTTAACTATTAAATTCAAAAATTAAAACCCCAACATCCCGATTGAGTTTTTTTCTCTAACACTCTAAATTTATGTGATCTGAGCTTTGTTCAAGAAAGGTGGTGGCAGTAGTACTTTGTAGCGGTGGTACTAAAAGGTATTCAAATTTTATTTAGATGGTACGCGTTAGTCAAAAGGTTGAGAACCACTGCCTTAAGTGTTTTTAAACAGTTTAATCTGGAGAATAAGTTTAGTTACAAAAATTAAATCAACACTCAAAGTGAAAAGAACACACTATAAATAATGGAGTAATAATCATGATTATAAATAAAGATATTAAGCCATAAATATCATTGAAGTACAATATTTATAAGATAACTTTAATAAGATCATCGAGTTCAAATTCATCTAAAATAGGAAGTTAAAGTTTTAGAGTTTTCCTTTTTTAATATGGGTGAACTTATTTCGCGAAGCATCATATTATCGTTTAGCAGACTGTTATCTTGCCTATCTGAATAATTGTGAAAGTAATGAAGGATAAAGCAAAATTATTTGAAATAGTATCACTGATCACCACAAAAAATGTTCGACACAGAAACAAACAAAGGCAAAAATCATGTGCATATGTTGCATTATTTTCACAAAAATTAAAGGAACAGCAGCAGTGAAAAGAGTTTCATTGTCAGAGTGGTGCACCTTCTTGCTTGTTTTTATTTATATTACTCTTGTATTGTAGGAATCAATGTTAAATATAAAATTAAGGCCGTATACTTAATTTATTGTTAACTCCCAAATATTAGATCATCATCTATTATCACTACTATTATTCCAGATATTCTACTTTTCTGTTTTGTATTTTTTATAAACTGTTTTCTTTTACTCTGATGATTCGTGATAGAAATTTTTCCATTGTTCAAGAAGAAACAAACTTTTTTAATGGGAGTCCAATTAATCTGTAACCTAATTAGTTTGTCTCTGGTTAGTTGGGAATCTATGGGAAAATTCTCCAGAATGAAGAAGAAAAGAAAAAAGTAAGAGAAGTTTGAATGCTTTGTTATTAAACTATGAGAAATCGTTTTGCTTTTCTTTAAAAATTAAGTCTTAAAAATATATCATTAAATTCTGGCACACATAAACGCAGAAAAATTTATTTTACAAAAGACTTGGCAGTTAATATGGTTTAACTTTTCCTTTGTAAATATATTTAATAGTAGTTATGCAGAAAATATTTTTAAATTCAGTAACAATCAATTACTAGAAGGTAATATTTGTACAAGAAAAACAAAAATTTTAACATAAAATTATTCCTTCCAATCCAAGCATTATGTGATCGGAATTTGAAAAAAAAAATAAATTGTAATTAAAATTGAGATAGAATTAAACAAGTGTGATAAGATTAAAAATACAGTAAACTGGATATCACATGGTTAAGAAAGTTTAAAACTAAAGTAAAAATGTTTCTGTAACTGTGACTATTGATACAACAAACTTTAAAAGTGATATTTTATATAAAAACTATAACACTTGCACAGCATTTTTATTATACCCAACCAAGAAAGATGCACGAAATCATACTAAATTCACATTGAATTGAAATGATAATTTTGTAAATGGCACAAATTGAAAATATTATTTCATATATTAAATTATCAATAAATGCATATAAAATAATATTTCTTCATATAAAACTTACTAACATGAAATATACAATATGCAAAAAAAATATTCACACCATAAATCCAACAATTATCAATATTTACAATATTTAACAATGAATAATCTATAAAAAATATATATAAAAGAATCCAAACATATTATAGTATGTCTATAATTACACTTCAAATAAATATATTGCAAATGGGATACAATATATATAAAGAAGCATAAGTAAGTTATCGTTTCTGAAATAAAGAACTCTCTGATTAATAACATTAACACATCTCTAAAAACTAAAGTATCTGAAATGGTATATCAGCACTTTTATAAACAGGCAGTATTTTACACAGTTGCATTATTATACTCACTTAAAATGCAAATAATATTTATAATAAAAATACTTTAGATTGTTATGGTGCTACATTTAGTACATGTAAGACATTAATGGCATTTTACCAGATTTTTAAAAATAATTAATTTTGATTTAAAACAACAAAAAATATCAAACAGTTAAATGTTCGATATTTTTGTTCAGCTTATTCAGGGTACAAAAGCACTGATAATGACAGAACTAAAATGAATGCAATTTACAAGTTAATAAATACATAGAATTTTAATGCTCATTAATAAATATACATAAAATGCTTACTAAAAATTTTTAAATAGATAAAACAAGTTGAAAATATGAAACCAAAAATTAATTTATTGATGATGAAGAGAAAAAAATTTAAACAATGTCCCATTATGAATACTGACAGATGAATTCTGGAAATGGCATACACATATACCACATAAAAAAAAATATATACCTCTTACCCCTTTCTATGTAACTTATAATGTTGCAGTGAGAAATAACTGTACTTGTCAATTAAAAGACCAGAAAAAGCTATCGAGGTATGTGGCTTGGAGTATATGTGATAATTATGTTCCTCGATAGTTTTATTTTTCTCTGCTGTAAAACAGCCACAAGTATGATGAGATTAGTGAGTGTAAATAAGGAAAGTAACTGCCTTTGATTATTCAATAATGAAAATTTAATAAATTCTACACCTAAAAACATATTATACAATACAGCAAAACATGTTTTTAGGAATTGAAAAGAAAGGCAGTCCACGTCAAATTAGCATATCAATTATGATAGAAAAACAAAGTTCACTGCTTACCGACACTGACTGTCAAACAAATTGTCTAAATCCAGCAGCAACACACTGATAGAGAAGGTCATTTAACCCTTTATGGATACGATTTTCTGTTTAAATTTTCTCAATAACATTTTGAGATAAGATTTTGCATTTTCAATATAATCATCTGTTACTATTTTGTTTTTATTGGAATGCAGAATAAGAGATTTATTTTAGCAATGACTCTTAAAACTGATAGATAGCATGAAGACTAAAAAGGCACTCGATGGACACGTTCTGAATTTCGAGGAAAAATATTAATATCAACAAACTGTAAAGCGGTATAAAAATTGAAGTTATTAGATTTCAAAGAAAGATATTTTTAACATATGAAATCTAAAAGGGCAAAAATGTCTAGTTGAAAATAAAAATGAAAAAATGGCTACAAAACTGCATCCTAAGACTGTACAAACTCAAGTAAATATCAAGAAGTGAAGTCTCTGATCCTGAAAAAAAAATCCACAGACTCAAAAATCCATTGCATCAGAGCTGAGAACATCTTCTGGAATTGTAAGAAAAATTATTTATACAGATTTGATGTTAAACAGATACTTAAACCAAAAATTTCATCTGCTTTTGGCAAAGCATATTACAGAAAGAAAACAATTTGTAGAAAATTATACAAAACATGCGTAGCTCCTGATAAATGGAAATTTGTAGTAACACTTGATGAAGCATGAGTACATTTAAATGACTGTTTTAATTTTAAAAAAATCAGTTTTCTGTTGCTCAACAGATGGATCATATGAAATGGCTTCGTCAATGTATGCAAATATTCTCAACAGACTTCTTTGACAGTTGTAGGATTTTGTTGCAACAGTGAATTAAAGCTAAAAAACTCTAAAAAAAAAAAAAAAAAAAAAAAGCAATTAATTCGCTGTATTATCAGCAAAATATTTTAGAATCAATTTTTGAGGGGCAAATTTCAACCTTATTTGGAAAAGACATCAATAAATTTGAGCTCATAGGCAAAGCCCCTAGTCATGTGTTTAAGTCAAAAGTCAACTGCCGCTAATTTAGCAAAAGAAAGAGAAATAGGAATAAAATGTAGTCATTAACAGAATACCTGTAAAATCACCTGACGTTTTGCTTATGGACTTCTGCACTTTCAGTTTGTTAAAATCAGCTTTAGGAAAACGGCTTCCAAGAACAATGAAAGGACTTTGAAAAACCATTCAAGAAAAGTATGATAAAATTAACACAACAGTGCTAAGAAAAAGGTATACTTTTGTAGAAAATTTGAGCCAGAGCTAAGAATCAAGGCAATCGGCAGAAGCATACCGTTGCAAAAAATACACCCTCTATATATAAAAATTAATTAGCGAAACTGTTTCCATAAAGTGGAAATGACTTGTGTGGACCTGTAGACGTCCATTGTAACAACCTCCAGCCTTTTATAACAAACTGTATACAATATGAATACAAGTTGGATCTTTGATGTCCTGTCAATAGTTCACATGTTCTGAGCTGAGCCCATTATGTTGCTGCTAACATGCATTTTAAACACAGAGCCATTATTCATATTTTGGATGAACAAATACTCCTTATTAATAACTCAGCTGCAGATAAATTTCAAAATGATAAATGTAAAGTGCACTGCGCTTGACAAATCACTAACTACACACAAGCTTTTGCAAGTTTCACAAGCCTTCTTAGGAGCTCTAACATATTCCCTGGCTAATGAAGTCCTCAAACTTTAGTCCCGTAGAAAATCTACTGAAACCACTCAGAACCAAGAAATAGAGAGAAAAATCTACTGAGACCAAATCTATCGAGACCCCTGTAAATCAAGAAGGGCAGGAAACGCTGAAGGAATTTAACCAAATTCTCGGATTTCTTACAAGCAGAATGGCTAAGAAACACAGACTTGTAAAACCCATAGCATGATGTCGTTCATTTCAAAGTAAAGCCATTAAATAGCAGTTACTATTTACAACAGGGTTCCAATTCTTTTGCCCAGTGAGCATAATGAGCATAATTCAAAATATTTGAACATTCTCTAACTCAAACTACAAGCGCCTAATTTCAAATATGCTTTTGTTAATCAATATGCAATGTGTAAATCAGGAAAAGTACCTTGAAAAAGCAAAACAAAACTGCAAATCCCCCCACCTCAAATGTTTTAAAGTAATCCAGTACACCTAAGTAATAAGATATTTTACAGCAGTGAATTAATTGAAAGAAATATTTAAGAAAATATACATAAATATTTGAAACTGTTCGATGTTTTTTACCACAGAAGTTTTATATTTTTTGAAAAAATATGAAAAACAATGTGCACTTAAATATTTTTAATAATAAACATGTTATAAAAGGGTTTTGACACAGGTCTGAATCTATAGGACATAGCATGTCTTGATAATGATGCTGATTTTACTTAACTATTATCTACTGAACATCAGAATGAAAAGAAAATCATATAATTATCATAAGAATACACTGCATGGATGTCTAATATTATTAATATTACAATTACATTAAATCAAAAGATTTTCTTCACTTTTATATGAATGACTATAACAGAATTTTTTTTTAATACATGTGATTCCTGATTTATGCCATTTCAGCTACATATTTTTTGGCTTCACAATGGTGTGAAAATCATCTTTTCTATATAAGCTGTACCTTGCATTTTGCATTTTGTTCTGTTTGGGGGGGGCAGGAAATATCAGGCATTATAACACACATAAAAGCACATGAGTAAAGGCACTAACCAGCAGATACAAAGAAATAAAACATGATATCTTTTTATGATTGCCTCATCATCAACAAAATCAATATTCCAGTGTGCCTTTCATCAGCTAATCTGAATCTCTAAATATAAAAGTGAAACTGATGATCTCATTTCCTAAAATAGCAAATGTTTACATAAAACCATGTTTGAAACATTTCTTAGGCTCGATATGCTTCCAGCTCTGCATATTAATGACAAACATGCAAGCAAACTATAATCATCACTTTTCAATTTCAGCACATTACTCAGTAAATTACAGGAGGGAATCGACATAAGCATTACTATAATACAAATTTTTGTATTACATAATTTAAGCATATTATATGTGTTAAATGGCAAATATAAGTCTTTTGAGCATATCAAGGCAAACTTAATTAAATTATGATACTCTGCAGGCTATATATATTAAATGAAAAGTAGATTTCTTGGGATGTAACCCATTCGTAAGTCAAAAAAGCCCATTCGTAATTCACTAGCTATTTTGTACTTATATTACTATTATTTTATTGAAATGTTTTGCATTTTCAGCATGTTTATTAAAACTATGTTGTCACATAATGAGTTTTCTATAATGTAATTACAACATTTAGTATAGAAGGAAACTACTGTTTTATGGAATGAATAATAAGCTGCAAATACTGAGTATAATAAATTCAAAATTTAAATATTTCATGCAACAGAAATAAAATTATTGGATCTTAAAAATAATTTATCTCAGGAAATTCACATTCAAATATGCACTACTAGAAATTACACGCATATATACATAAAAACGCACACTGATCCATATATTTGTACTTTCCACTGCTTCTGATGAAAAAAATAACGTCTTTAATTTTCTTGAAATGAACTGGTACATATTTTTCCTAACATGTCAAAAAATTCAGAAATAGAAAATCTTGCAAATCATTCATTTACAAGAAATAAAATGTATTTCAGAAACAGCAAATCCATTCAGATTAATAGCAAGAAGTAAAATGGAATACTACATATTATATTTCAGTTACCAATTCAATATAATAATACTCCGTTTACATTTTCGTGACCAGATGATATGATTATTAAAAAAGGTAATTACACGTCAATGTTCTGATCTTTTATAAGCATTTACTTATTGTTAACCAGTGCAGCTTTTGAAACAAGAACACTCTTTGTATGCACTGCATTAGTTATATACACAAAATTTAACAAATTTATATGTTTCATTTTACACAAATTTTTGCCAAGTTGGTTGAGTTTTTATCTCCTTGTGTTTGGGTTTAGGACTTACTTTCCCCTGTATACTTGTACCAGAAGCTGAAACTGGTTTGTCCTGACCTGCAGACAACCAATCTGAACGTCCCGACGACTGAGAACCACTCGCAAAATTTCTTTGAAATAAAGGTGACTTACTCAAGCCATAATCATCTAACAAGTCTTTCTCAACATCAGATAAATGATCTGTTCCAATGAAGAAAGTGGAAGCTGAAGGTTTTGTTTTGGGTGGCAGCGCAGGTTTTACTTCTGGTACATTTACATTTTCAAAGTTGGTAAATGCATAGTTTTTGGAATTTCCCTTAATTACAGGATTGGATACATTTGTAGGTACTGTTTGTTTTGGAATCATTAAATTTGGCTGTACAACTCTTGGCGAGTAATATGGAGGGAAGAAATTCACAGGCTGATTACTCATTGGATGAGCTGAACAAGAAGTTAAAGACTGTATTGTGTTTTTGAGCTCTGTGACTCTAGAATCACTTGTAGCTGTAGGTGCTAAGAATGATAGCAGATCTGTATCTTTCACACTGCTCTCCTTTAATGGGTCAAAAAGAGAAATTTCATCAATTGAGTCTAACTGTATAAGAGGTTCTTCCACAGATGCATTTTCAGTAGGAAAATCATTCTTAGGCTCAACACTTGGTTTAGAGGATTTAATGTTCCGTTTTGATCTTGGAGGAGGAATAGGAGAAGGCATAAACATATTTGAATCACAAAAAGAATCGGCAAAACCTAGAGTTACCTGTTAAAAAGAATAGTATCAATATATGATCATTATAAAAAATAAAAGCCAGTCATCACAGTAACAGAGATTACAAAATTATAAAATTTATTCCCTGAGCTGTTATTTTGTGTCTGGAAGTTTAGTTGGTTTATAATGGTAAAGCACTCAAGAACTACATGGTTATAGGGAAAGATGACACGGTGGAGACAGGTTTAAATACATGTCAAAGATCTGCAAAACAGAGAACATTCATATAAACAAATTTATCACTAGGAATCAAAACCAAAAGCATCAATTAAAAACATATTTTTCTGTTGAGATGTTGCGAAGCATTCTGTTTCCATGTACTATCACAGCTTGATTCAAATAAAAATTGAAACATACATGACATTATGTAGCTTGTACATGTTACACACTTTGTTTCATGTACTGTCCCATTCTTCTTGCCATGTTTCTTCAAATTCTTCCCTAACAAAACTTCTGATGATTCTCTCTGAAAAGGTAGCAGTAATAATGATACCTTTCAAATGAGTTGCAGATTTTACAAATAAATCAATCACTTCATTGCCACAAATCCCAGAATGACCATATATCCAGAATAGTTTTATATCAGTTATTTCCTGTACTGATGGAAAAATATTTTTAACCACCAAAATACTACACATTCTATTTGTAAAAGATGGTAGAGCTTGAAAAACACTTCAACTGTCAATAAAAACTTTAATAGTGCTATTAACTTGAAAACTTTCTTACAGTGGTGAATGTCAATACGACAGCTTCTTTAACTGCAGCTAATACAACTCAAAAAATTGATGAAGTACTATCTAAACTTATATTTGCTCCGCAATAACATTATTAAATAATACTAATAAATGCTGCACTCACTCTCTTGAATTTTAGAACTATTTAAATTCCCAACTTTTGTCTAGGGAGGCAATGTTACTCACGTCCGTACAAATTTCTTTCCAATTTGGCTTTCATACTGTGTACATTAGGTATATTTTTGGAATCAGGAGAGATGAAAAATTAGCAAACGCCTTCACTGGGAATCAAACCACGGACCTCTGAAATACCAGCCCAGCATGCAGAACCACTACACCATGAAGACACGAGAGATACCTTATAACTGAACTTCAGATAATGCTTGCAAAGCCATCATCAACACAGTTTTATAAATTTTGGTCATGCATAATAAAGCTGATCTTTGTAACCACACTACATGGTACCCACATTTAACACACATTAGTCTGTTAATTACTTTATCAGTCCCATTATGGCAAACAAGACAATCATAGAGCATTATTCTTCCCAAACCTCTAAAGTCCCATCTACATGAGAATACATGCCTGCAACAGAATCGTGATCACTGTGAATGATGGGATACATTGTCATCAAAGATGACAACAGCCAATGAAATAATGTATATAGAAATTGCGTGTCCAAAAAGCAATGACCACATTCTCAGCACTTAGCTGAGAATAGTCACGATTTGAGTAACATAAGGCACAAATTATTTGGAGTTTCTGTTATTTTAACAAATTTAATTTATGATGCAATATTTTCTTAGGATCATAACTTCCAATTGAATTCTTTATAAATACAACATTCTTTCACCTTGATATAAATGATTTGCTATTGTAAGCTACACAGCGATGTATTTTTTGTCTCATATGCTAACTAAATCTGCTAGAATATTTTTTTCTGTTCCAGGGGATTATGATATTCTTATTTTCTGAGATCTGACAAAAAAGAAAAGTTTAATTTACCATCTGTTTGTATTTGATTATATTTTTGATTTTCTGTTTGTTAATAAATTTGAATATAAAAAAAAAAAAAAAAAAAAAAAAAAAAACTGAGCCAAAAACTAAATAATTTAAAATAAAATCTTTGAGCTTTTTCAAATTATATAAAAAGATTAATTTACACGAAAATACTGCAGAAAAGCAACAATCTTACAGCTAAAATTTTGATTTAACATTTATACGAATTTCAGAACAAATATTTCTAATATCACATTACACATAAGACAATATACCTTAATATTTTTGCAATCTTTAACTAAATTTAGGTGAAAAAATGAAGTGATATTGAAAAGTTCTTAGAAAACATGACAAAACACTCACATCTTGAGTCTCAATTTGAATATTATCATCTAATCCAAATGAGTTGAGATTATCACTGGATACAGAACATCTCCGAAAAAGTATATCACGTAAATCATCCATGAGATCCATATCTATCCTTTGTATACTTGGACTGCTTCCTCCATCACCAGATTCTTCTGATGGCAAAGATATTTCATCAACTGTTAGCATCTTATATCGGCGAGTGCTAGTAAAATGAGACATATGCATAAATATTTTAATCGAGTACAATGATTTCTAGGGCATGATAGTACCACTAACAAACATTAAAACGGGTTATTCTTTTCTAAACTCAAATGTGTTGTAATATTTGAGCAGAACTTTTATTTCAGAATGTGCTCAGCTTTTACTAAATTATAACAGATCTCATGAAGATAACTCCTAAAACTCTGGATAAAAAAAAGTCTTATTGTTAAGATAAAGCTACACATGTCATTTTTAAAAGCACAAAGATTAACTGATACACTTAAATTAAAAATCAAAACAATTTTAGTGCTTTCAAATAAAAATTACATTGAAATTCTCCTAAGTTATGAATATTCTATCATATCCAAAATATAAAACAAACAAAAGATGAAAGAGGATGCTCATAAATGCTAGTTCAAAAAAGACATTACTACTTTTAAAGCTAATAAAATCAATGCAAGTTCTTTAAAATTAGAATTTTTTAAAAAAAGTATATCAACTTTTAATAATATATATTGCAGTAACTTTTAATGAGTATGTACTTTAATAATATTCTGCACAGGTTTTAACAATTCAGTTTCTTTACAGTTTAACTTAAATATGAAAGCATGAAACTATAACAGAATCTCTCAAAAATTAGATTTGAAGACTTAAAAATAAATGGCTTAAAAAAAAAGAAATAAAAATCTCAGAAAAGAAAGGCCAGAAGAAAAAAGTAATCTAATATTATTTAAAATGGTGTAAAGTCATTAGGTTACTTTTAAAGCAGGACACGTGAAAACATGAAGACATGTGGAAAGGAAGGAGAAAATACTTTATATACTCCCCCTTTTAGCAAATGACTGGAAATGAAAGAACCTAATTGCCAAATACTAGTGGCAACAAATTATTGCCCCCCACCTTTTAGTTTAGATGCCATTGTAGACTCATTAGGTTTTTTGAAGTAGAAGCTGTGAAAAATATGCAGGACCCTCACTGGAACTCAAACCCTGGACCTCTCGAATATGCATTGAAAGTGCTTCACCACATCGAATGTGCACACCACAAAGGCATGCGGAAAGAAGGGAGGAAATACCTTAGAACTGTATTAAATTTAATATCAACAGAAGTAACACAGTTAATACAGTTAACTGATTAACAAGAGCAGATGAACTAGGCCTTGTTTAAAAAAGTTAAGTCTGTTTACTATGAAGCAATGGAAAGTTACAATTACAAACCATCACAACTAAGCAAAGTTTCTAAAAGAACTACAAAAAGGATAAGAGAAGATGTGCGATAACAGCAGTGACAGCAGATGATGTCACGATATTTAGAAATTTTTATCCATAACAGCATATAATTTAATTTTACGTAATCTGGAATATGTCAACATTAATAAATCCTATGTTAAAAATAGACTGATAAATGATAAAAATAAATCAAGTATACAGCAATTAATTAATACAAGAATAATATAAATAAATATACTGTCCTTTCTGGAAGTTCTCATTTTGAATGCTGACTACATAACCAAATGGACTTAATCTACAGATTAAACTGCTTTAAAATACAAATTCTTAATAATATGTTTCTGTTAAATAAAATTTGGGTTAGTCCTCATCCCTGGTTAATGTAACTCCACCCAAATTAATTATGATTTTGGATTAACCATGAACATGTTCCCCACTGTGACCCAGGTTAATCAGGAATTTACTGCATTAAAACCTCTAATCTAAATTTACTTTTTGATTTTTATAAAACCTATAAATTTAAACATTTCCTTTCAATTTCTTACGAAAACAAGTAACAGAACACTGGAGGAAAAAATTTTTAAAATGCTAATACATAGTTAAATAAAATATTAAAAGTGAGCAAAATTCAACATTACACTGACTATGCATTTAGAGTGAATCTGATTTACATCCTTCTTACTCGAGGAATAAATTCAATTTTACGTATACAAAAACTGGAACAGTAGTAATTATACATACACAATTGATACAAAAAAAAAAAAAAAAAAATGTCTCTATGAAATACTTACTGTCCTCTGATAGAATCACTAGCACTGTGATATGGAAGTTACAGAACATCAGTGAGGTGACTATTTTCATTATGTTTCAAATGTAATGAACTATTTACTGAAGATATGTGGCATAGTTTGAAAACAAATGCCATGAATGCCTATACTTCATTTCAAAAATCAACTCGTCAGAGGAGTTCAAGTACAGGAAGTATGGTGGATGTGGTAGATATCAGCCTCAATGAGTGAGCAAATCAGTCATAACGTTCACTAGATGTACCTAATTACTGGTCTACAAAACTGAAAGATTCTCTAGAAGGTGCTGCCACTTCTATAGAAATGTTGGTTGCAGGTCACGTTCCAAAAATAAACATGTCTTGACAATATATCCATGTATCAGGATAATGATACCATGGTTATTCAAAAAGATGACCATTCATACTGTTACGGTTCTAATGAAGTTTAAATTTTTTTTTGATAACCCATAATTATGCCACCCATTCAATTAGCAATCCTGTTATGGTTCATATATTCTGGACCATGTCTCACCCAGTGTAAAAATACGGTATAAGAAGGATTTCTCTTTCACACCCATGGCAAACACCATAACATTATAGGATTGTACTGTCAAATGGTATTGAATCTATTGTAATGAAATTTTTCACATGTTTTAGGCATTCATTTAGAATATAAAGCAATCATAAAAAATATTTTGACCTTCTCGGGCTAATCCTCAAACTGTAGGTTTTCCCGCCGTTTGCTGTGCTAGTTTTTAGGTAATTGTTCAAACTGTTATGAGAGAGAGAAAAAATCATACCACAGTATTATTTATTGGCACATATAGCACAAAAATTAAATAATTAAATTCACTTGCTACATTAATATTTATTGTTGATATAAAACTTAATTATGGCAATTTTGCTTTAAGCATTTGAATTTAATCTTTAACACTTAATTTTGCATTACTGAAACTTTAAATTTTTTTATAATATTTTTTAAATAATTAATATTTTGAAGATGTTTTATTTTACTAATTGTCTTCACTTTCTTTTCAGATGCTGGTTTGGAAAAATTAATAGAAGTATTCAATTTTCTATTGTTTACAGTATTACAGAAATTTTTTACAATAAAGCTTTTTAAATTATATTTATTTTTCATGTTTTTATATTTCATTTTTTTCATGTTTTTGTGGAACTGGTTCAAAAATTTTACCTTTTTATTCTATTGTTTAGGGAAGACTTGTAGAATTTTGAAATTTAATGTAAAATTAAATAATTGAAACAATGTATATCATGGCTTCATTGTTTTGATTTCTGCAGACATTTTCTGAAGTCAATAAGAAAAAATAAGGCGAAAAAGTATTTTCTTTATATAAGCAATGGAAAAAGTTACTAACTCATAAAAGAAAAATATTCAACATATGGACAATCAATCATAACTATAATTCATGTTTTCTAAAAGTCTTAAGAATAAAATGTAAATCATAACAGAGATCACTTTTATGAAATGGTGTTCTGAATCATTAAAATTAATTTTTATGCAATTAAAGATGTGCTTCATAAATAAAATGCTGATTTATAAAGGAGTAAGAACACAAAATCGCTGATGTTTAGTGTTTCTTCCAAGTTTTCTCTTATTTTTATATAACGTTTTACAACCTAATCCATCCATGCATTAGATAGCAGAATTCCGTCTATAACAATGTTTTACATTGCGTTACCTAAAACAAACAAATTTAATTGAACAGAAATGTAAATAGCATTTTTAATTATTGATAATGAACTGAAAAAAGAACTCATTTCCTCATCCAAGTTAAGAAAGATGTGCCATGTCCAAGACGCATTTTAGTTTCTGACAAAAGACATTTGCATTCCACTGACTGCTCTCTGAATAACAAAATTAAAAGATGATTCCTTTTAGCACTAATTAGTTCTAATTTATGTATTCTTTGTTATTATTGGTTTAAATTTGCTGTTCATTTTATATGAGACACATCAAACCAAAATATTAAGAGATTAAATATCATTAAATGGTTGGGGAAAAAATTATATTTATTTTGTTAAGTTAACCAAAAAATAAATTTACGGAAACAAAATAGCTATTAATAAAGAGAAAATTTCATAGAAATTGAAACATAGGTAGAGCATCCATGAAAAAAACTACAGGTACAATTTTATGAATGTGCATTAAATAGAAGTTATAATTTGAAACAAAAAAAAGGTAGGTGTCTCTTATTGATTTTGTTTTTTAAGGTAAAAAGAGTATTTTTGAAATATGCTTAAATTATTCGATCATTTAATTTAATTTGATCACTACATATTATGAAATTTTTTAATTAATATTTTTCAATGTCTTTAAAATTATTTCTACTTTTCATTGCAGTAATTGCTTTCATATAAAATTCTGGAGTATTAAATTTATACATTTTTAGAAAACTGATTTACTTAATAAGGATAGGTTTAGTTTTAATTATTTTAGCTTATCAGATTTAATAAACTGTGGAAAATTTCAGTACATGAATGGAAAAAAATTGTGGATGGTGTTTTTTAAATACTATAAAAGTTTATCTATGTCTGATACATATACATTCTATTTTACACTATGTAACTAAAAGCGCCAGTGTATGAAAATCATACATGTTTAAAACGGCGTTTTTACATTTGTAATGCAAGTATATTATCTACATATAATTATAAAAATATGGTACTAAAAAGACGTATGTATACTCATGAAAATATATGTAGATTTCACAAAAAGTGCTCGTATAAATGCAGTAACCGATTAAGTAAGAAAATAGTTGATTCGTGCAACTTTTTGTCAAAAATGTACATTACTACATACTAGTACAAGAGATTTACCTGAATTTTTACCAAAATATCCCTGTATGCAAAAATATAATTATGTAAATTTTAAAGAGAAGTATACATGCATGTTAAGTAAAAAATTACACAGATTTATGTAGATTTATGTAAATTTTCACTAAAAATATACAAAGTAAAAAAATTGGGAAGCTTTACTTCTATGTGACATATATGTAAATTTCCACCAAAAACATACATGAAAGCTACAAAGCATGATCATTTGCATGAATATGCTTGAATTTTACGTATAACTTACATATATGGTGACGCAAAAATAGTAAATATCTACTATTTTTTCCAAGCGCATTTTACGATATATTTACATTCTAGTTTTATATTTTTTATACACAAGGCCATTCATAAATTGCACATATTTTTTGCATGTAATTTATGAATACATGGCACTTGGGTTATTATTATAAAATTATCAAAAATCAACGCTTCTGTAATGGGAATTATGAAAAATTTAACAAGTTTACAATGCATTGTGTCACTGTTGTGTTGTGTCATGTCAAGTTTACACATAAAGCACATAACATAAAACTCACCCAGATACAGAATTAGCTAAGTTGATGCCATCAAGTGTACTGCTTTTACTATTGTCAGAATTATAAGATATTCTCTGGAAAAAAAATACATTTGTTACAACTCACAGATCTTAGAAATCCTCCCCTCTTACAATACATATAAAAAATTCAAACAATTTCAAGCAAACAAAAGTCAATACAATAAGATACATATAAATGCCTTTAAGCTCTGATAATACAATGCATAAGCTCTACATCACATTGGCATTCATTTCAAAACAAAATGTCTATTTGCATTTTGGTTAAAATCTTATTGAATGGGAAAACTGGGAAGGGGGCAGTATTTTCTTCACAAAACATGCTGCAATTTCTGCTTTAAATTTTCATCTATGATAAATATGACACTAAAAAATTATTTTTTTTTAGATTATTTTAAGGTATTATCAAAGTAAAAAAAATTCATTATTATAAGGTAGGTTTCAGAGTAATCTCGAATCACACAAATGCATTTAAGCTCTAATAATAGAGTTATGTTGCATCACATTGGCCAAAATGTATATCTGCATTTTGGGTAAAATCCTATTGAATGGGAAAACTGGGAAGGGAGGTAGTATTTTTTCACAAAGCATGCAGCAATTTCTGCTTTAAATCTTCATCTATGATAAATATGACACTAATAAAACATTTAAAACTGATACTAAAATTATTTATGGTAATAAAAAGGTAAAATAAAAATTCAATATTATAAGGTAGGTTTCAGAGTAATCTTGATCAGCATCCAGTACCCTTTGCCAATTTTCTTGCAGCTGTGCAATGAATACCCTGGTGGTAAAAGTTGGGGATTTTGGAAGAGAAGAAATCTGTAAATGTATGCTGCAGGCCTGCCTCATTATCAAAGAATTTAATGGATTGTCCAAGGAATGAAAGAGGCAGTAATTTGTGAGGTTAGGTATGGCAAACAACCAAATCACTGAATGGTACTTGGGTTTCTCATTGTTGTGGAAGTACAGCACACTTTTTCAATCAATCAGTGCTAACTCCTGCTACTGCAATGCACTCATCACAAGTGCTGAGAATACTGGTCTTCAGTTATGGTATGGTCTGACAGTAGTAGTACAAAATGCACCACTTGGCAACTAACCCATCAGACATAACACAGGATGTTGCTTGGGTGAAGAGTTGGTCTTAAGGTATAAGGAATAGGGTCATGTGGTGACAACCAATATTCTAGTATTCTTGGGAGTGTCACCTTGACCCACTTCATCACTCATGAGCACTTGACCAAACATAGCTGTATTATGCTAGTGAAACAGCAATGGCAAAATAGGTTATCACTCACTGTTCCTTCTTGGCTGCCCATAAAGTGTGGTGTAACCATTTGCTCAACTTGTACACCTTCCCTACACAGTACAAGTGAAGTGGAACTGTTTCCTTTGAAGCCTGAAAGCATTTAGCAAGCTCACCAGACTGCTGTTCTTCTCTGACTCCAGGGACTTGTCATTCAGCACCTGTGGTTGTCCACTACAGGATTCATCACAAAGACTCGGTCTTCCTTACCAGAATTTCTGGAACCAATGTCTAGCAGTATGTTCATCTAAGGCTCCCACCCTAAATGCCTGATATACTCGACAACTTGATGCAGCTGTCGACAAGCCTACCTTAAAGTCAGAGAGCAAACAAATACCAACAAAATGGTTCAATACCACCATTTCTCTTCAACATTAGATGAGCAATGATAGCTGTGTATGCAAAACTTGCCTGTATTAGTGCAGGTCAATGATTACACTAACCTCCACTGCTTTTCCAGTGCACGAGGCATTTCATTTAATTTCTATGAGCACTTCATCAAATGATATATAAAAAATAGCAAGAATATTTTTGATTAGCTTGTAGATTAATTTATATCTTCTGACTTTTGTCAGAATAATTTAATTCAATAAGCTTACACTTTATAAGATGTCAAAAACAACCTCTTAAAATACTAGAAATTATTTTCATATTTCAGTTCTATTTTTCGAATTAATTACTATTAAGGTAAAATTAAAAAAAAAATTAGTGACTTTTGTCACATGGTACTGACACTCATAACAAAATGATTTAAAACTAAATTCTTTGAACAGTTGATTTTAGACAAAAAAAAAAAAAAAAAAAAAAAAAAAATCCACTCATAAAAAAATACTTTTTTTTTCATTTGAATTGGTACCTATAGAATGTTTTCTTTCACTAATATTAATGCATTTTGAAAATAAAGAAGACATTTAATGTCTGAACCATAATGGGTATATACAATTTTATTGTATTTCTACTCAGTTTTCTTATAAGCTTTCATTTCTAGAGCAATTTATTTAACCATCTAACAAATAACTGCATATTTTCACAATATATTATAATTTTAAAACACTTCTGTGCTTACAAATAACCAAATACCTATTATGCCCAAATAACTATTATGATTTATTTGCATGAATTTATTTTACAGGATGAACTGTACAATATACAGTAGAATTTCAATAATCTGCAAATCCTTGTCATTTACACATAGCTGTGTTTGTTCGGAGTTCGTGGATTGAGAGTGATTAACAACAAAACTTGACAAAGAATGAAAACACAATTTAATAGCTAGTATTACTCAGGAGATCTACCAAAACATGTTTACAGTTGTCAAAAAACTACAACAAACATGCTGAAACAATCAGCAACACAGCCTTCAGGCTATAACGGTAAAGACAGCTTGACAGCAAAGATTTGGTTCAGTCATTCTTGAAACTCAGCATACCCTGGGATACAAAAGGAGAAAATGGAATGGAAAAGAAAGCTATGAAAGACAATAATTTTTTTAATAAATCACAAATTTCAATTCTGTCACTTTCTATAACTGCTAATAATATAGATGCATGGAATATAGTGAAAGGAGTAGGAAAGGATTAATTATTAGAAAAACCTCACTGAAGAGATTTGAAAAGAGTGTATTTATTCTATAAAAATTACTTTAGTTTGCTGGTGTAGTAAAGTAGCTTTGCTGGTGGGTATGAAATTTTATTCATGTCAAAATTTTGATATATTTTTAAAAAAAGATTCTTTCACTCTTCAAAATATTTTTCAGACATTCATTTCCAACCATTTTAATATGTTTTTCCTTGTTTACTCTACTATGCTTTTCTCTTGCATAATTTTTGTTTTAGATTTGAACTGATACTGCAACTCCACACTTTAACAAAATAAGAGCTCTTTTTTTTTCTTTTGTTTTAATGCATATTAAAACTTAATTAGTTTATTCACGATTTTGGGGAAGTAATGGCTTATAAATAACTGATTTTGTGGGTACTGACATTTTTCACCGAAACTGAAAATAAGTTTTTAGAAATTCCAGGTTTTAAATTATGCAAAAGGAGCAGAATTACTTTTGTTTTTAAAAAATGAAACTCATAATTTCCTGAACATTTAAGATAAGTAAATCATTAGACTCAATGACCAATCTGAGGCTCTTTTTACATTACTACTGACTGACAATGAAATTATTTCAAGTATATTAAACTCAGTTGATAAATTTAAGAAATTTTATAAGGATTTTAAGTTTTACTATATTTTAAATTTTGCTATTCTCTCTTATTTTTTATTTCTGGCCAGAATAAGCACGAGTAGGATTTTTATGCTAATTAATTTTGAAACTGTGAAAGGTATTTAAAAAGTGGCTTCTATCCACGTGAGAGAGAGAGAGCCTTCCTACAGCCCTGCTACATGCGTGCTTAGTCAGTTCATGTCGGCTTTAGGCCAGAACTTAGTTCCTGCTGATATACAGTAGAAAGTCCATAATTCAGCAATTCCGGATTAGGGGTTTTTCTGGATTATAGATCATCAATTTAAATCTGGTAAGATGGTATGCAGAAATTATACTATTAAAAACATGAAACCGTAATTTATGAAATAAAAAGCAATTATGAAATAAAGGGTATCAAATTTTACCCCAAAAAAATTTACTATTTATTTGCTTACTTCATTAAACATTTCTTTTAATGCACGTATGCACAAAGCATACGCGCATGTGTAAAGTTTGTGGCTTTGAGGTCCGAATTATAGATCATTCTGGATAATGGACGTCCGGATTACGGACTTTGTACTGTAATAGGCATATTGTAGTAGTTGCATCTAGCTCACTACATATGCGGGTTAAAAAGGCCAATCTTCCAGGGTTCGTACACATTTCTGCACACGGAAATTAAGTACTTTTAAAGACCATTAATGAAAGAAATTAAGGACCTATGAGCAAATGGGAACTGAATAAATTTAATTAAAAATATTATTCTATACCTGAATTTCACTTTGTAAGATCATCCTAAAAATAAAATAGATCCCTAAGTAGCATGCATTATTACTAAACATGAATTAATGAACATAATTATTAATAAGTTTGAGAATAAAATAAAACTCCATGCAGTTTACCAAGTAGCATTAAATATTTTACATTTATAATGGGTTTGACATATTTGAAAGAAGATATGTCACATTTACGTTTTACTAATAGTTAGCTTTATGTTGATTTTTTTATGTCTCATTTTGTCACATACTTGGTCAGTCTAGAGAAGAGGTTCTCAACCGGTGGTACGGAAGAAAAAAAATAGGTGGTACACAAAACAGCAAAGTATTTTGAGCTATTTATTTCAAAACAGTAATTAGTAGCAGTACTTTGTAATAGTGGTATTAAAGGTTTTCAATTTTTGTTTAGATGGTACACGTTAGTGAAAAGGTTGAGAACCGCTGGTCTAGAGGTTTAGTAAATAGCAAGTAGATTTTATGTCAAATGGCATAGGCTAAAATGAGAAGCAAGATCATAATCAGCATCATTCATAACAAAAGATTGAATGTTATCACCACTGCTGCTTGTCTAGAGAGAGACCTGCTGATTAGAACAAACCTGAAAGGCCTGATGTAGGCACGGTTGGCAAGTGTTGAAAGTTAGTCAGGCTCTGTTTGATGCAGTTAGTGTCATAGCTTTGTGTAGAGTTCCAGGGGTTGTAACCCAGTTAAATATACTTTCAGGTTCCAATAAGCCATTAAAGCACCAGAGGTGATAAGTTGTTTTGTATTATTTGCTAGTTGTTTACATTATTTTAAGTCTCACTAGATGCAAAGAATAAGTTTATACTTGAATTTTTACATTTTTGTATTTTATCTTGTGATCACAGTGAGTATTAATGAAAGGCAATAACTCGCTTTAATATGTAGAGATAATTTTTAAGGGTAAGCAGTTAGTTATAAATAATTAAATTAGGTAAATTTGATAACCTTAGTCATTATGGATTTACATGGCCACTATTAAATTTTTTTAACAGTATTTAAAAATGTAACAGTAAAAAAGTTAAGCCTATTAAAATCAAAATCTAATAAAATTTCACAGTTTAAAATGCATGTAATTTACGACACTGATTCTTAAAGGATATTAGAATAATTACACATTGAAAGCTACAAAACATTTATGTTTTGTAACAACAACAACCCAACAAAATATTTATCCATCATTTTAATTTGAAGCCTTCCCAAACATTTTGTCTAGTTCATATCGATTTCCTTCTCTATTTAAGCATCTTTTCTAACAATTAGAGATTTGTCTCAATATGCAAACCAATGCTCTCACTAGTTTCTGCGTGCTTTATCTCCTAACTTGTCAACCTCTCCACAATGTACCTATGAGGGTTTACTTGATCTGGTAAAAGTTAAATAGTCCAAAACCCCCGATAGACGTGAAGCAAATTATCACTATGTCTGAAAGTAACTACAATATCAGACAAAGGTTTAAATAAGCCTCTTATTTAAAAAGAACAAACATAAAGGCATGTTCTGATGCTTCAATTACATCTCACGGTGATTTAATTAAACAAGAACAGTCAAATTCAAACTAAAAATGTGGACTAGTGGTCAAAGATTATACAACTTAATTTTAATTTAATCTGGCTCAGTAATTTCTATCATATGAGGAAATAGAAATGGAAAATTATAGTAAAGGCTGAAATCATAAACAATTGGGTAATTTACATAATAATAACTGCACATATCTTTGAAGAATAATTTTCTTTATCTATTCAGTTTCTTTCTTCAACATGTTTCCTTTTCATTTTAGAATTTTTTGGATTTAATTGAAGGATTTCTGATTCTGTTTTTCTAAAAAACAAAATGCATTTAGAATGTATAGTAAAAAGTGACTAATTTAATTTCTTTAGTAATATGGATTTAGAAGAAAGAAATATGAAATATATATTGTAAAGGCCAGTTACAGAGCTGGTGTGGCAGAATTTTTAGAATTTAGTGACACACCAAACAACAAAATCTAGAAAGAAGAAAGGCAAAAACTTTTAGAATTTAGACAGGCATTGGAAGCAGAATTTAGAAAGGCACTATGTAGTCGAATTTAGGATCCACAGAGATTGCATCAGATGGGAAAATGCTTAGTGCCACCTCTGTATATTATGCATTAAAACATATTAGATGGATCTTTTAAATTGTAAGTTTTCATTTTCAATATTAATAAAAAAACTTTCTATAATGCCTGCCCAATTGATAAGATTAGAAGCATTTTTGATATTTTCCATGCTTGTGTCTAGTGAAAAGTAGAGAAAATAAAGGGAAGATAAACATGTTAAGAAAAAGATTCTAGTATCAGGAGTAAAACATTCAAATATTATGTCTTCATTGTTCTTCCAGACGTTCTCCAAAAAGTAAGAAATTCATTGGAAACTTTCTGTAAAATACATCCATTACTAATTCAGAAGTCAAACAACAAAAATCAGCGTTATATTTACAAAATGTTTATATTTACATTTGCTGTGAAAATTTTGTAAATATAACACTGATTTTTGTTGTTTGACTTCTGAATTAGTATTTATTCGGCGTGTTATTGTGTCTTAATTACATCCATTACGCGTTGATACCATGGAGACATTTTTCATTTTGTCACATATTTATCGAATCTTCTAGAATCGTGGGTCTATAAAAATCTTGCCTTCAAATCTTTCTAAATTTTCCAAGCTGGAATGTCAAAAATACTACAGAAAAATTATCCCAACCAATTCTGCAACAGCAAAAAAGCCAGAAATATTTTAAAAAAAAAAAAAAAAAAAAAAAAGGGAGGGAAAATGTGTAAAATTAATTTTATAGAGAAAACTGATGCATATTCTGAGAATTTTGAATGTTCTGAGACAATTACATGGGAAAATACGCTTACTATGAAAAAATTAAAAACAAGATATTTTTAATTAATTACATAGCTAATTTTGCTTTTGCTAAGAGCTTGTTTCGTAAATTGTGCTTTATAGCATTATACCTTGTTTATTTTTCAGATACAAAATATTGTATAAGTTGCCAAAATGAAACTTTATAATACGACAGCGAAAATAAAAATGTTTTATTTTAATGTTATTTTTTAAATATAATTCCAATATATTACACATAAAATCTATCAAAGTTATGATGTTTTAAAAAAATTCCCAGATTTCAGAATTAAAAATTTTCTATAGAAAATGATCTTAAAATCGCCAAAATGTTGATAAGTCGCCAAATTTAGAACTGTTTAATAAAAGAATTCACATCCCCAAAAGCGAAAATTGTTTAAGAGCTCTTTATTACAAACAATGAATTTTGAAATGCTTATGTTTGACTTCTTGCTTAGAAACTCGAGTATCCCATCATTTATATTAGAAATAGAAACAAATTAATACCCATGATCCCATTCAAAAGATAACCATATACGTCAGTGAATCACCAAAAATATTCCTCTAAAATGCTAATTCACATTCAAAATGGCAGCCGTAAAAACAGACAAAAATTTCAGATGATTAAATTTAAGGACCTTCTACTGATTTTGGGCAAAATTAAGGACTTTTAAGGACCAAAAATGGATTCCAAAAAAGTTAAGGACTTTTAAGGACTCTTAAGGACTGTACAAACCCTGTCTTTGCATCGTTAGTCTCTGCGATAGCATTTAAGTTTAATTCTTATTTAATTAAGCTAGTTACTAAATGAATATTTCTCATTTTTTACATTTTGTTGGTCTCTGTATCCCAAACTAGAGGAACACCTGTAAGAAATAAAGTGTAAAGTTAACCCTTCTTAACTTGTTTGTCTATTCCACGCACACACAAACATAACTTGCATGTGTTCCCTGTTCCCACTCAGTATTTCTTGATGTTTCCCATGTTAATTAGAAGGAACAGTAGTCCTGACAACTTTAGATTAAATTATCTTCAGTGAGAGTTTAGAATTAGCCAAGAGTATTTAATCTTATCTATAAGAAAAATTGTAACACACTTGGAAATAATAATAACATATACAATTCAAGAAAAAATAATAAGAGAAAACTAAAGCATTGAAAAAACAATAACAGAAATGACAATCCATATAAAAACATTCATTTATAACTTTAACTGTATCATATATATATTTATTTAAAAGCATAGGGGTTTTGTATTCAAGAATTCTTAATATATGTATTTGTTTTGGTTATTATGTGCAAATAATCCAAATGCAGTGTAAAAATTAGAAATGGAAAATGTAAACAAAACTCAGAAATATAGTAATCTATAATCAGCACAACCCTTGGTCCTGTTAAGTTAGTTAAGCGTGCATATCAAGGGAATTCTACTATAATATAGTATTTCTTTGCTGCATTATAAATTAGACTTCATTACTTAATTCTGCTAGATTATAATTTGTTAATAAATATCAAAATTTTTCAGAAGATAGGAATTACTTTATCTCCCAAATACATTTAGGTACCAAAAAATTCATTTCAATTACATGATTAAAGAGGACATAGTATATATGCATATGTTGAAGCAATTTCATTCAGAGAAAAACATGGAACATTTATGGAAAAGTATTATATCTACCAATATAAGTTTAAGACAGAAAAAATTAAAATATACACAGGCAAAAATCTGAGATATCATTGGAAATCTCAATATTAGAATATTTTAAAGGAATAATTTTAAATGGCCTAAAGTTAATAATGCACAAATAAATTTTCATGTCTGACTATGATGTAAAAAATCATTTAGTCAGATATCTTTTCCGCATAAAAAATTTGCTAAAATTTATATTTATTAATAAATTACTAAATCAAAACCTATTAGCACAATGCAAATCAGATAATAAATCCAACACATCTTATATTTAGTTAAAAATTATTAAAAAACACTAGTAACATGATACATCATCAAACTCTACAGTTGTACACTTTCTATATTTAATGTAATGCCATACATACTTCTAAAACTTGAATAGAAAAAATATCAGTTCACTAAAAAATTTATATATAAGTTATTGTACGGTAAAAAATTATCAGAACATGAGCATTAGCAAAAACAGATGTGAAGAGATACTTTTATTATGTTTACTGTAATATAGTATTTTTAACAAATTAAATAAATTAAAATCATTTCATTAATATACCTTATTAGTAAAAAACTTAGGGCGCAACATGGTAGGACTTGAAGGTGCACTTTTAGGTTTCTCAAAGTTTGGCTCAAATCTCAAATCAGGTTGACTAGGATGCTAAAATAAATTCAGTAAAACATCTAGATAAATAGCATGCTTGGTTAGCAGACATTTTACACTCGGTTATTAAAATTATTTTACATCTTTTAACACAGCAATATGTAAAAGTGTTACAGAGCAATGCAGTATTAGTATGGTAACAAAGGAATGGAATTATGCAAAAAATGAGAGAAAAAATATTAGGTATACAGCTAATATTTACACAAATGTAATACAAACTTTTTGTATATCTTGAATTTTTGATCGAAAATCTTTATACGCTCTCTTGCCCTTATCTTTTACCTATAAACAGTAAAAGAAACAAAGAATGAAAAGTACTGGTACTTTAATTTCCAAATAAAAATAATTTTATTGTTTATTTTTGTTAATCTGATCACTGAGATTGGCAATCAATCATATGACAGTATAAACAAACAGATACAGCAATATCTATATTTAACCTAAATTAAGAATGAACTTAATGACGATAAGCTTGCCACATATGATTAATATTTGAAAAATTTACATAAAGATATGCACAATGGGTTCAATTACATGTACACATTAATTAAATCAATTTAGGTGATGAATTTCAAATATCCTACTGTTAATTTTAATTACAAAAACTATACATTCTGCAAAACTATACATTCATAAATTTTTTATACAAAAATGGAGCGATTAAGTTATGACGCATGTCTCATTGAAACTGGTCATGATTGTTTGGTGAACCATCTCTATTATGTTGATATTCATACAACTCCAAACTGCCAACTTTGTGGCTTAAAAGAAATGGACAGAACTCAATCATATAAAGTGCTCAGTGCTGCATCAGTGGCGTAGCGAGGGGGGGGCAAGGGGGTGTATGATGCCCCGGGCGCTGCTCGCAGAGGGGCGCCATATGGTCTCCAAACAAGATTTTCATCATATTACTGTGTTGTTTTCGGGAGAGGGGGGCGCCAAAAAGGTATTTTGCCCCGGGCGCCAGTTATGCTCGCTACGCCACTGTGCTGCATGGAGCTTCTGAGATAGAGCCGTATTGGAAAGCTAGAGACTAATTGATGAGATATTGACTTTTTATGCCATATGTTTACAGAGTTCTATTCTGTTTGTATAATTATCTGCCATTCAAAATAAAAATAAATAATAATAATAATTACAGGATAAAATATAATGATGTGAAAAAATGTTCCTTTTCTTGACATAATGTACATATTTTACTCACAAATAAATCAATTATAATAACAGGTTGAATGGCATTTAACTTCTGTATTATAATGGAAAAAAGAAAATGTGTAATTTATGTACAAGAAATTTTTGTCATTAAAACTAAATCCTGAAACTGGCACTTTGTCTTAATATGGCACATACTTCAACCAACAGTTTATATAGTACTAAGAATGAGATCTGGAATCGCTGGAGTTTTGCTTATTTTTTAGGTCAATGAGAAAAATATAATCCCTCCACAACAGCCAGTGCCAGAGAGCAGCACCAATCAACAAAATTTAAGGACAGTGGAATTTTTTTAAATTTAGGACAGAATTCAGCACAGAATTTATAGGTGTATCAGAATTTATTGGTGGCAAAATTTTTAGAATTCAGGCCCTGCAGATATTGCACCAAGCAGCAAAACTTGCCCCGCCAACCACTCAAGGGCACTGGCCTTGCCCCGCCAACCACTCAAGGGCACTGGCCTTGCCCCGCCAACCACTCAAGGGCAAAAGTCTAACTCTGGCCAACATCAATCAATGTATTACTATTGGTTATGGTGCAACTTTCTTAGACAGTGGGTGTTTGAAAGTGTAGGAATCTCGGTCACTTGGGAGAAAAATCAGATTTACGCATCATATTACACCTACACCCTTTTGAGTCTTATATTCTCCATTCCCAGATTTTGCAAGAGAGACTTGTTTTTCCATGAAGAATAAATTATAAAAACACAGCAGAAGACCAAAAAATCTGACAAAACGTGAAATCCACTCTGTAGATTTCAACAGCTAGATGTGGATGGTTCTGGTGATTTTGGGTGACATCTGGAAATCATAGGTGACAGGTTTTTCTCATTCATTGAAGCAAGTTAGCAGATTAAATGGGTCATCATTTTTACAACTGTCACTAAATAAATATCTTACCCAAACTCACTAAACCCATACTATAACTGAACATTAGCTCTATGCTGTTTTACTTAAGCAAGACTGCAATAACTGATATTTTGGTAAGTATAAAAGTCTGCAAAGGAGCAGAAGTAAATTTTACATTTTGGCACTAAACAATGAACAATATAAATGAAATTCTTTCACATAAAAGAATCATATATAATAAAAGAATTTTTTTCAAATAGTTATTATATTCAATATATAATGTATTTTGAAAATGTATTATACTACACTCATGTGCAAAATTAAGAGAATTTACAAATTATGTATTTTTAAGAAAGGTATTGAACCAAAGGCACTAATTATACTGCTGGAAGAATTATGCAAACATTTAAAGTCGAATATGGTTTGGTTTATTTAATTATGGCAAAGCACACTAGGGCTATCTGCCTAAGGGGAGGGGTGCCTTCGTGGAGAACTTTTTAAGGGAACTGGCTCGTATACACGTTCGTGGGGAAAACCACGAAAACGCCCATGCAGCCAGCCCGTTCGCGGGATTCGAACCTCGGACCGAACTATGAGTGTTCAGTGACTTTACCGCTCGGCCGTTGGTGGGCTAAAGTCGAATATGTAAGGGTACATATGTGTATCTGCGGAACTGGAATTGTGGAGGGGATACAAGCATGATTTGTGTTCTCCCACTCCTCCAATACATTTGCTGAATTTCTCCCAAGATTTGGTTAAATTTTATGAGGTACCAGGTAAAATGAGTAGCCACGAGCATATGGATTATGAAATGTGATGCAGATTTGTCAGTAGATTGGAGGCAGGTCAATCACAAGCACAGATGGCTACAGATCTCAGAGTAATGCTCACTGTCATCTGCAATTCGTGGAAACAGTTTCAGGACACTGGATCCATACCAACAAGAATTGGACAAGGTCGAAAAAGATCCACAATGACAAATGAGGATCATCATTTGGCACTTTTTATGCAGTGTCTGCTACAGCTTTGCAGTTCTCACGTGAGCAGTACAGTGCCACTGGAACCCAAGTTTCATAGTCTACCAAAGCTTCATGAGATACGGCTGCATGCCAGAACAGCTGTGGTGTGCATCTTTCCCATTGCAGTACATAACAGAGCATGTTTAGCATGGTTCAAACATGCAACTTGCATCAAACTTTAGTGCAGCACTGTGTTCACAGATGAATCGAGATTTAGCCTGGACACTGATTCTCAGTGTTCCTGTAACTGGAGAGAGTCTGGATTGCAATACCATTCCTCCCTCGGGAAAAGGATCATTATGGTGGTGAAAATGTAATGATTTAGGCAGCCATTATGTTGGACGGGTCGCACACCCTTGCATGTGTTTGACAAAGGCTTCCTCGCTGCTATGAGGCATAGAGAGATCTTAAGAGTCCCACTTTTCAGAAGCACAGTTGGTCCTGGTTACTGTCATTGTATGACACCACATAAGGCTCAGCTAGTCAATGATTACCTGCAAAGTGGGGATATTCAGCACATGGATTGGCCAGGCAGATCTCCTGACCTTAACCTTAGGCAGCATTTCCGACTTGCTCTTGGGAGGGCATTTTTACCTCACCACCTACCTCGAAGAACCATAATGGAGTTGAAAACTGCCTTGCCACAGAACTGATATCAACTGCCAGCGATCCTGCTGTGCAATCTGTCATCAAGCAATGAATAGTATTTAAAAATTATATTTCTTCCTTTATCAAAATAGTAAGTACCAAATAAATTAATAATTTCCCTGCAAGTCATAGTAAAGAAATAAACTGGAACAATAAAACCACATGATTGATCAGAAAATAATTATTCTATATAATCTAAAATGGAAGGGAAATCAAACTAGAACATTCTAAAGTTTTTCAACAAACTGCTATAAATGAATATTTGAAAAATAATTTAAAAAAAATAATAACCATTTAATTTTTATAAGCTTCTTTTATTCTTTATTCTCTTTTTGAATAAAATTACAGTGGATTTAATGCATATAATCTTCTCCAAATTATTATGGATTTCTTAAAAAGTTTAACTATACATTATTATGATTAAGAGTGATTTATTATATATTAAAAAACATTTTCAAACAAAAAACTTATTGTGCATTATATTTTAAGCTGTATATTTCAATACTTAGCAAGGTGCTCTTTGGCTTTATAATGTGTGGTTTCTTTGCGGCATTTCCTGCTATAAAGTCTTTACAGTATTGCTGTAGATCTGTGTCATCCCATATTTTCTAGGCTCTTTGCATTTATTTATTCATCTTTGTTATTTCTTTTTCAAAGATTTTATTTCTGAAAATGTTCCATGCCTTCAACGAGGTTCACGTAAGAACTATTTCCTGGCCAAGCCAGCATTTGAAGCTTTGTGAAAATAAAATAATTTTTCAGTATTTCAGGTATATTGCAAAGAACAATGTCTTATTGAAAAATTCCACCTGCTTGAAAAAACACGCATTAATCTTTGGAAGGAGACAGTGGCATGCCATGATTTTTAGCACAGGAGACTAGGTATGAAGAAAAATTAAAAGCTTCTATATGATGACCATGTATGGACTGCAGTTATGATCATCTTAAGTGAGCAAAATTAAGTACTAGATTCCCTTTAACTTCACAAAGATGATGAATATTTTTAGTAGTGGCCTTCTTAAGGAGGTGGTCATCATAACAAGATGGATAAAGAGAACTCGGAATGATCTTATCATAGCAAACATATATTATTTTTAATCTGATGGGTGTCATAAAAATTAGTTGAAAACATTTTATCTTAAAAAGAGCACAAGGCCAGCAAAGCAGGTTACTTCTTATTTTTGCATTTTGAAACTACGTAATATTCCACTTTGGACTAACAAGTATACTGTTTCATTACTTGTACAAATAGAATCATTAGGAGTATATCCATCTGTTGTCATTATTTTTGTGTCTTTTGAAAATATATTAAAAAAAAAAAAAAAAGACAAACGAATGAGACATACAGCTAATGCAGCATTTGATAGCTAATGAGTGCATGGTCAAAAAATAACACCAGAGGTTGCTTGCACATGATCCATAACGATTTCTTGTGAAGGACTAGCTTTCCATGTCACTTCCCTTTCCATAATTTAAACTTGGAACTACTTGGAATATTTTACTTCACATTATTTCCAACACCATAAGAATATTTTGATGAAGATGGACTAAAATA